AGTTGTCTTTTGTTGCTAGGTTAGTTCTTCTTGCTTGCTAGGTTAGTTGTCTTGTGTTGCTAGGTTATTTCTTTTCTTTCTTGTTGCTAGGTTAGTTATGTTTTGTTGCTAGGTTAGTTGTCTGATGCTGCTAAGTTAGTTGTGTTTTGTTGCTAGGTTAGTTGTCTGCTAAGTTAGTTGTATTCTTTTTTTCTAAAAAAATTGTAGCCCATAGGATTTGAACCTGGTACCTCATGGAAGCAAGACAAGCAATGCAACCACTACACCACTCAAGGTTGAGTACCTTTTGTCGCTAGGTTATTTATTTCAATACAACGGGTCAACGCCGGAAGTCAACGGTCAACACCGGAAGTCAACGATTCTCGCCGGAAGTCAACACCGGAAGTCAACGGTCAACGCCGGAAGTCAACGGTCAATGCCGGAGTCAATTAATAATTATTTTCTTATTTAATTAATGTATATTTTAATTAATTTTAATCTATATATATATATATATATATATAGTTAGGCTTTGCTTGAGTTTAGAATTAATAATAATCTCAATAACAATTTGTCTTTGTAATGTTATTGCAAATTGAGCTTATGAACATGCATATGTGCAACTTTTGCAGGATGACCATGTCATTGAACTTACACTATGCTGCCTTAAACTATATCTCTGCAACTTTTGCTACGTCTGTCACAAACACGATTCCTGCTATGGTTTTTATTATAGCAGTTTTGTCGAGGTATAATTATGTACACAAATGATGTATTAATATATATTCAGAGACTGATTATTATCGAATTCATGAATAAGCGATTTAATTTTCTGTTGACTTTATATCAAAACCGTAATATCCTCTTTTTATGAAACATATGGTTAGATCACAAAACTAACTAGAAATAGAAACACACATGAAAATGATGGAATGTATAAACATAGTAAAATTATGACAAAATCCAATTTTATTATTAATTTTGTTCTTTTACTAGGACCCTCACGAGGTTTATTTGAGCACGTAAAAAAATCCTTAATTTGGACACGATGTAGGATTGAAAACCTAGCAATAAGGGAAAAACATGGATGGGCCAAAATATTGGGCTCAGTACTCGGCATCTCAGGAGCCATGGTCTTCACATTCTACGAGGGCCCACACCTATACTCTGGATCCAATAATGAGGCCCAAAATCTAATTGCGAAGAACTACTCAAAAGAAGAATGGATCAAAGGCTCCTTTCTCTTGCTTGGATCAAACTTGACATGGTCCATTTGGCTTGTCATTCAGGTCCAATTTTGGTTCCAATTTTTTTTTTTTTCTTTTTATGTAATTTATTATTTGTTTGTATAATTTTTGATTCATTTATTTTATTGCAAACTAGTACAGAGCCCGTGCGATGCACGGACATTACAATTTTAAGGCTATTTATCCAGGCTTATAATTATATACATGAATAAAGAAAAATGTACGGGATATATATAGTACGTGACCCGTGCGAAGCACGAGATATATTTATTTGGAGAATATTATATTATAAGATAAAATATTCAATAAAAGTTTATGATACGCAAAAAACTGTACAATGTTCAATAAAAGTTTTATAATATTCAAGTGGAGTCTTAAAGTCTCTTGTACATTAAGACTACTGACAAAATAATATTTTAATCAAAGTGTTTCCTTTCTTTGTAGCCAAATTATGAATGTGATTTGAGGAGTACAACAAATCGATATATAGCCGACTTGCTTTTTTCATTGTAGTTTTTTTTTTTTTTTTTTTTATAATGAATTTAAAGATATTCTAAAATATAGCAAAAATTAATTTTTTTATTACAATTAGGAATTTTACTAAATATAAACTCTCAATCTATGGTGTTAATCAACGTTTAAGTCTAAAAAATTAGGAATTTTTACCTCTTTTAATCAACGTTTAAGTCTAAAAAACAATAGAGTTATTATAAGTTTTTTTTCTACATCTTTTAAAACATTAAATATGAGCATGTTAGGGCTAGCTTGTAAAATAATTAATATATTATCTCACTAAAACATTTATACTAATAAAAATTTAATTTTAGCATATAAATTTATCCCTTGATATAAGAGAAAGTAACAGTTTTACTTATTGTTGTTCACCATATAATATTTAATTATTATTTTATTATATAATAAAAAAGGAATATTGTTAAATAGTGTAGTAGAATTGTTATAAAATTATATGAATTTTATTTTTACAATATGAATTTAATTTTTTTTATGATTTGATAATATAAACAAATCTATACTTAACTTTGACAAATAAAACAAATAAATACTTTAGTAAGTATTTAATGTATATACTAAATAGGAATATATTTGGTATAATCAAATACCAAATATAATCAAATAAGTCAAAGTGTACATTTTTATTTGGTATTTGATTTTTTTTATTATTAAAATCTTTTTATTATACTTACTTTTTTAAAATAAAATAAATAAATAAATCAATTAAATAAATAAAATATTATAATATCAAAATAGTAATGACATTTAATGCAGCTGACTTTTCTGGATAGTAAATGTAGTAAATAGAATATCTTTTTATATAATATAATACGGAAATAGTAATGCAATAAATGCTGTTGACTTTTCTGGCTACTTAATTTGGTAAATAGTACCCCCTTTAATATAAGTATAGATTAAATTTGAATTTTTAGGCTCCAATTTTGAAAGAGTATTCTGCAAAAGTGAGGCTTACAACATTACAGTGTGGCTTCAGTTGCTTAGCGTCAGCAGTGTGGTGCAATTAAGGAAAGAGATATATCATCTTGGAAGCTTGGTTGGAATATAAATCATTTGTCCTTGACTTATTTTGTAAGTATATCTAATATCCATCTAACATTATAACATTTCATAATATAAGTATGTATTTTGTTCAATAAAAAAAAAAGGTATAAAAAAAATTGATCTGTCTAACAGTTAGACCTTCCCGCACAAGAACATGTGAGGACATAAGCATTAGGTTGAAATCTTTTATTTGAAATATTGGGGATTTTCTTTTTTCTTAAGTCCAATTTTAGAATTTATTTTAATGATAAATCAAATTCATTTTTTTTTCAAAAGCTATTTATATAATAAGTCTACTGCATAAGTGCTTATCATAATTAGAAGAGTTTGATCATACAAATTTTTTCGTTTGACCGACATACACGTATATATACACACGGATATGTGTTGATTTAACGGTAAAAAAAAAAAAAAATTAATGACTGCACTGTAGTAGATTGAAACATGCCTAATAATAAATTACTTTTCAAAAGTTAACTATCAATAGAATTTCACTCATAAATAGGCAAGTTTTCAGTTAGTAAACTATTTTGGACATGTGACTAAATACAAATTATTATTTCTTCTAATTATAAGGCACTAAATCATAAATTTTTAGAGTAAGGAAAGATAATTATCGAAGTGTAAGAGACAGATAAAATAAGGTGATTAATATTAAAATATCATTACGAGATGAACTAATTGTTAGATGTGATTATATTTATACCAAAAATAACATGTTATCATTATAAGCACAACTCTTTGGATTTTGGATATTGATTAAAGGTAAATTTCAGGGCATTGTTGTGTCCGCCATAAATTATTCAATGCAAGTTTGGGTTGTGGAGAAAAAAGGTCCAGTATTTACTGCGATATTCAGCCCATTAGCACTCGTGTTGACGGCTCTTTTCTCAACTATTCTTTTTCATGAATCACTCTACTGGGGAAGGTCAGGGCCCAATAATATTTTTTATTTTTTCTCCTTAATAAACTTCTCTTATTGTTCTAGATAAGTAAGAATATACAACTAATTTATTTATTTCACTAAGATGAGATTATACTTAATTTGTAGTGTTTTGGGAGGTGCAATGCTGGTGGCTGGGCTTTATGCTTTCAGCTTTCTTATGGGGTAAGAGCAGAGAGGTCCAACTTGGAGAGCAACAGCAGATGAACCCAGCAAAAAAGGAGGAAGCCCATTTCGAGTCCATCATTACCTCCAAAACGACCAATGAAAGTAGTTCATAACAAAGCCTGAATAATTGTATGCTCTCCACTGCAAAACTCAAAAGCCATTTTGATTGAAGAGCTTAAAATGCTCGTTCATTATATAACTTCTTAATTTTCTTTCTTTACAAGTGTAATAAATTAATAATTCACTATTTTTTCTTTTGTTTCTTAAAAAAATAATTAAGACGTAGTAAAAGCTTTATTTTCTTTATAAATATAAAAATTATTAATGTTATATGTTTCTAAAGGTGTAAATGAACTGATAATCAAGTTTGAATGTGACTAATTAACTTCTTGATATATGATAAGAACTTAGAAAATTATGTAAATGAACATGTATCAAGTCTAAATGAGCCTTTAATGAGCTCAAAGTTACAAGTCAACTTGAACTCGAATTTTACCAAGTCGAGTCGAGATGAACTACTAATTTTACTGAATATGCCTCTTTCTATTCGCAAGTCAAAGATGACCACATTCGACAATATTTATTCGCATATCGTTATAGTTTTTTAATTAATTTTATTCAATCAATACCCGTTGTTTGCCTTTTCAGGCGTTTGCTATATAGAGCATATTTGATACAACTGATATACAAGGGATTCAATTCGTAAGTCCATTTTGTTGTAATACATAACATTTTACTTAACTTATCCAATATCAACTTTTGCATATGACATAAGTAACATAATCAATTGAGATTTGAGAGCCATTTTATCTTATATATGGTTGAATAATAGTCTAATCCCTTGTACTGTTTGCTAATTAATGACGTTTTTAGTTATGTAATGAGTTCTACTTCTTTCTATACAATATAAAATTTTCTCAAATAATAGTTTATATATATACCTAACAAACAAATAAAAACAACAATAATAATAATAGCTCACGGCTTAAGGGAGTAATTGATAAGTACCTAACGTGGTTTATGATTATTAGAGCACAAATTTTCTGGCAATCATTATTCTAAAACTATCTTCAACACAAAACACGATAGATTTAGCCGAGCTCGAGTTTCTAATACTTGAGTTCGAACTTGAGCTTTTATGGAGTCGATCAGGGGCAGATTCAGAAAAAATATTTAGGAGGGACTAGACTATTATTCAACCATAGTTATTCAAGAATAACTTGGTTTGGTTTTTGAAAGTTTGAGGCCGAACTTACTTAAATGAGACGAGTTTGAACAATAGATTCACTACAACAAAATGATGAAATTCCAACGGAAAGTTACTATACAAATATATTTTAATGGAAATTCCAACAAAAATATTTCGTTGGCATGAGTTTTTCGTTGGAATTTTCGTTGTTTTTTGACGATTCCAACGGTAGATTTTCCAACGGAGGTGAAAATAAAAATTCCAACGGAAATTGCATATTCCAACGGAAATTCCTATTGTAAAAAACCGTTGGAAAACTAGCCGTTGGAATCATCAAATTCCATCTAAAATTCCAATAGAAAAGTCATTCCAACGCAATATTTCCAACGAAAGCTATACCCGTTGGAATTTTATTTGGAGTATATTATCGTAGGATTTTTCGTTGGAATATAACAACTTTTTTTTTGTATAGTGATTAAGTTTATAGACGTGTTCGCAAACAATTCGATTAGAATTTAAGAATTTAAATTTTGAATTTATGAAAACGGTTCGAGTGGATGAGTCAAACTTTATCTCACATTTTTATTTATTTAATAAACAAGTCAAAACAATTTTGAATATAAAGGTACTTGACAAATCTCAAGTCGATGATATTTTGAGGGGAGTATACAATTTTTAAAAGAATAAAATTACATTAAATATATATACAATAAGTATAGTTTACTTATGATAAAGTAAATGATAAAGTTGCCGTACAAAATTTCACAATCATTTAAGTTTGATAGTATAAAATTTGTGTTCTACATATTTGCAACTCATAAAATTCACTAACAATTAACTCGGTATTAAAATTTATTGCAATTTCCCATTCAACCTCATAAAATTGCAAAATACGCATGCTCTCTATTTCAAATAACGAATTTTCAAGTGTTTACATTTCTCACATTCAATTTAATTAAACCTTAAATTACTAAAAAAAATAGAAAAAACAAATATAATACTATGTAAATAGTATCTAAAACATGATTTTAAAATAATAAATAGATTCATTAATGCAATAATTAAATAATAAGTAATGTAATTGTGGGATATAATTGTGAATTAAGTACATATNTTTGTTGTCAATAACATATTTTGAACTCAACTTGTTTATCAATATTAACTACGAGTTTGGGTTTGAGCCTTTATTGAGCAAATTAACAATCTAGAACTCGACTTATTTATCAATATTAACGAGTTGAGCTCCAACATTACCAAATCAAGCTATATAGAATTATATGGAGATCCTCATTTTCCAACTATAAGGAGGCTTAACGAGATAGTCGAGCCAAACAATGAATAACGATTCATTTAACATGACTTATGATGGATTCAATGTTAAACAACTTTAACTGTTGTGGTTCGCAAAATACATGTGGTTTGCACATGACCAAATGAAAGGACTCGATTCACTACAACTTGGTGATCGATTTGCAAAATAAGGACTAGCAAATGAAAGGGATATATCCATGTGAACTACTATTTTTATTTTTCTATTATTAATAGCACCATTTAAGATGTTTTTTAATCAATAATACTTAACCTTAAAACTTGAGATAAATTCCCTTATACAAACGTGCATATTTTCAAGTGAAAATATTATAGTTTATAAATTAATATAAATAAAAAAATGACATTTGAATTCTTTTATTTATATAGTATGATGGATTGTTAGACCAACTCGTATGAATCCATGAAAGCATTTTGGTGAAGTTAATTTGTCGGTCACTATAGTCTATACAATTGCTTCCAAATGTTTCACATTTTATATACGAGTTTCTTTTTTTTTTTTCAATTACTTCTCTTACGTTTTCTTCATCTTCACTTTATTTTCTTCTTTTCTTTTTCTAAAGCCAAGCCTTTTCATCTCCTTTCCTTTTCTCTCTGCAGGAAAAAAGGAGTACCTTACTTGAACTTTGGATGCTCGCACAATCGAAGAGACCCTTCTGCTGGAGCTCAGTTATTACCCTCCATCTGTTCGAAGTAATCGTCAGTAGACTGAAAACAGGGAGTGCCCATGAAATCTGATACGAAATGTCAACACAGCTTTGGGGTAAAACCAATAGCCGCGGCTCGTGGTTTTCTCTTCTCTGTGTATAAATTTATTTTCCTTCCTTTTTTGCTCATCTATGATTGTCAATGCAATATGATTAATTTAATTTATAATGAAAAGTTTCTGGCTTTCTCTTGTATCTTTATTGCCTTTTTGTTGTGAATGTTTCTTCTTATGCTTATGGCCCGTGGGGAAGTAGGGTTTTGCTTCTATGGTTGCTTTCAACATTTTTCACTTCATGTCCCAATTCTTTGCTTGAGCTGACTACAGTTAGAGCTGTAGTATTTGATTTAAAAATGTTGAAATATGAGGAGTTTATGATTTGCATTTTGTGATTCTAGCCTTTTGTTTAGGACAGAGCCGGTCGTGAACTTTATAAGGCCATGGGCAAATGTGCTAAATATTTCCTTTTGTTGTTTTTATTTTTTTAAATTAATAAAATAAAAAAAATAATGTAACTAGCAAATATAAAAGCAGTGAAATTTAAAATAAAAATATAGCTAAATTTTATAAATAATATTTGAGAAATTTCTTAAGAATCGGAAATGAAAAAAGAGAAAATTCTTGTCATTCAAAGAAAAAAAATTACGCAGTCAAAGATCCAAACGTTCATTTACTTTAAGTATATGACTTAAGTTTAGTGGAGTACATAATACTCAACTATAGTTATATAGATTTTTTTTTATGGGAAAGTATTAATTTTTAATTTATATTTAACAAAGTTAAAATAACAAATCAAAATTGAAACTCGTTGAAAAATGAGTTAACTTCACTTAACTCTTGTATTGGTTATCACTAACATAATTGAATTGTGCAATCATAAAAATTAACAGAGTATTAAAAGAATAAGATAAAATATGCAAATAAATTAATTTCACTAATAATGACTACTATTTAATTTTATCATGAAATTTGAAAGGTGGATAAAATATAAAAACCCTTTGTTAAGGAATAAAAAATTATGATTTAAAAACAATTTTGTGTTCAATATTTTATTATATAATTTATATATAATATATATATAGGGATTGGTTCCAAGGATTCCACTTATTTAAAGTGAGGACGTGAGACTCATTTTTAGCTACAAGATTTGGTACATCATGTGTGGCCAAGATTTACTCTTTTCTTTATATTATTTTAATTATTTAAATATTATTTTGACCCATTGACTCCGGCGTTGACCGTTGACTTCTTACGTTGACCATTGACTTCCGGCGTTGAATCTGGCGTTGACCGTTGACAACTAACCTTTCAACTAGGTTAGTTCTATGTAGTTGTTAGGCTAGTTCTCTGTAGTTGCTAGGTTAATTGTCTGTAGTTGCTAGGTTAGTTTTCTGTAGTTGCTAGGTTAGTTCTCTTTAGTTGCTAGGTTAGTCCTCTGTAGTTGCTAGGTTAGTTGTCTGTAGTTGCTAGGTTAGTTGTCTGTAGTTGCTAGGTTAGTAGTTGCTAGGTTAGTTCTCTATAGTTGCTAGGTTACTAGTTGCTAGGTTAGTTCTCTGTAGTTGTTAGGTTAGTTCTTTGTAGTTGCTAAGTTAGTTCTCTGTAGTTGCTAAGTTAGTAGTTGCTAGGTTAGTTTTCTGTAGTTGCTAGGTTACTAGTAGCTAGGTTAGTTGTCTGTAGTTGCTAGGTTAGTTGTCTGTAGTTGCTAAGAGTTGTCCGCATTTTAAGAGCTGGGCGCATTTTAAGAGCTGGCCCCATTTGATCCGCCCCTATATATATATATATATATATTAAAAAATATATTAAAATGGGTCCTGAGGTAAGAGGGGGCTCTGGGAGGTCGCCCGGCCCGCCCTACCCAGGGCCGGCCCTGGTTTAGGAGTTTAATATTAGGAATTCTTGGTTTCATATGCATGAGTTTGTCGATATTTTCTCAATAGAGCCCTACTGGTATGAAAATGTCAAGAATATGAGTTTTCAAACCCCTGATTTTCCCTGTGTTACGTGGTCTATCTTGTGCATGATGTTAGGACCATGGTTCTAATACTTACACACCCTGCTATTCAATTTGTCAAGGTTGCGTAAACTGTTCTTTTATTGTTCATAAGTCTGTAATTTATTTATTTATTTAATTTGCATACATGTTACTTTGCAGAAGGTTCAGATTTTTTCTTTTCATTCTAAAAAACTTATAAGTGTCTCATTTAAGTAAAGAATTATGTCTAGGTATCCCTGGATGCAAGAATGACAGACGAACAAAGTGATGCTTATCAGTCTAGTAGGTCAGCTCAACTGGTATCTGCATGGAGGTACTCTCTCTCTCTCTCTCTCTCTCTCTCTCTCTCTCTCTCTCTCTATACGGGATCCTTTTTTCTTTTTCATTGTGCCACTAAAGATTGTTGCGAACAGGGTTTTGTTTAATGTAGCATGGCTAACAACAACACTTTTTTACTATGTTCTTTCATGCTCAAAAGAGGGAGGTTTGCTATCCCAAGGCAGAACCTCAGTATCAATGTAGCTGCTCATGTCTCAAACAATGCATGCTTGGAGGTAGCTCGTATAATGCCTGACTTATTAAGTCTGGAAATAGTACCGCGCATTGAAATTTGGCCAGCGTCCTTTAAGAGTTCACCACCTGATGAACATAGTGTCGCACTCTTTTTTCTCCCTGAGGAAAGGTACCAGATTAATCATTGCTCCCCGCCCTTCTATTTCTCTTTTACTTTTTTTACTGTTCACTGACAAATGTGTTCACAGAGACGAAGAAGTTTTCAATAATATGCTGACATATGCAATGTGCGGTGACTTTGCCCTTAAAGCAACTATTGGAAAAGCTGAACTCCTTGTATTTACTTCTATCCAACTTCCTGGGAAGCTTCACAGTGAGTCCAAAATAGTTTTGTACTTGCAATTTTTATAGTTTTTTTTTTCTTTTTTTTTTGGTAATTTATTACTCTTTTGTTCTCATAAAATTGCAGGATTACAGGGAAACCCTTACTTGTGGGGTGTTTTCAAGGGACAACGTGTTGGTGCTTCTCATCAATCAGGGAATCAGTTGCAGACTCAGACCCCTATTGTGAGGCTAAGTCTGTCTGCTAATTCTTGTGGCCACAGGAGCTTTGATGAGAAAGAGAATCTAGTAACCATTTCGAGCGAGCGCAGCCCTTGTAAGTTCTAGAGACAATATAATTGTAGCTGCCCGGTACTTGCTTATAGTTGTAATTCGCACCATTATTGGTTTTAATGATCTAAAATTGTGCTGTCTAGCATTTGATCTTTTTACTCACTTACACTTTATTTTTTCATTATTGATTATATGCTGGTAGCTTGCAGATGTTGTAATCCTTAGTGTTAAACATCCATTCTCATGTTATACCTTTATCCTTTTGTCTTTAGTTTTTTTGGCATTTTACTGTGGACACCCTGAAAATCTTGGCTGTTATTTCCCCATATGGCAACTCTAAAATTAGATTTTTTTTTTCGAAACATTTTCAGTCTCAAGAATCCATGAGAATACAAGTATCTTTAATGTTTTATGTGACCTACTTTGAATTTATTGTCAAATTGAATAATGTCCATGACTCCATGTGTTGGCATAATCCAATGTCCATATGATGATGAATAAACACATAAAAAGTTGCTCACAGGAATTATCTCTAGTTAGTTGTAATAATGGTATTTTACCATTAAATTACATGTAACTTTGTTAGTTGGAATGCACAAATTATCAACTACAGTTTTTCGCACACCTTCTATTGATCTTGTTCTGTATCTTCTACGATAATATGACTACAACATGTAGGCACTTGATGTGTATTTTAACCGTTTCTGATGTATTTCTTTTTCTCTTATTTTTGTAATTCTACTCTCTGGGGGAACAGTAACACATGCACCTATAGTTGATAGGAGGGGAAGACGCCTGGACGATGCTTGGCAGCACGCAAACTCGCTAGATCCATTAAGACAGAAGGCAGAGTGCAAGTATTGTGGTTTTGTTTCCTTACATGGTGGGATTTCGCGACTTAAGGCACATTTGGGGGGAGGACACCCGAAAATCCGCTTGCCAGGTTGCGAACAGGTGCCGCCCCATGTGAAAGAAGTCATGAGCGATTGGTTCAACGATTGGGTATACAAAACCAAAGCTCTTTGGACGAAAGAAATTAGAGGTATGTCTTAAGTGAGACCCCGTTAAATTTAAACTTGTGTATATTTCTGTTGTGGTGTCATGTTTTGTGGCACAACTTGAGGGTCACTTGTTGTTTTTGGATGTAGCAGTATGGGTGATGGTACTTGGGTTTTCTTTTTGAGTTTGATTGTATTAGATGCTTGTGTTGTCTTACTGATGCTGAGAATAGCCCCGTATTTCAAATGACTGGGGCATGATTGAGATTCTGAATAATTGAATAAGATTAGCTATATAGAACATAATCTGCGTATGTAGTGTCTAAAGATTTAAAATTTTGTTATTTGCTGATGTAGAAGTTCTTGTCTTTCATTACTCCTGGATATTTCTCTGAGAGAATTTAAACACGCGTGATGGTTTCTTTGTTGAACGTGCATGCCCGTCTAATATCCATAATATTGAGGTAATATAGAAATAGTAAAATAGTGCTCCATGGTAAAATTAGGTGAATAATAAAATATTGATTGATGATTTTATGATTGTTATTTTGATATGGCCATATGGGTTGTATGTGATTAGTGAGATTAAAAATGAGATAAAGGAATAGTGTTAAAAGTTCTTAAAAATTTTCGAAATGAAGTTCATGTTAGGTAGAAAGTCTAATTGAGGGAAAAATTTCAACGTCCAAAGATATTCAATTGCTCGCCGTGGACTTCAGTTTTGACATGGAAAAGCAGCTTACAAAAGTCATTCTCTATATATCCTGAACTCCGAGTTAAATGCAGAGCCACTCTTTTTGCTGTGTTGATGTATATAAGATACATGGTTTGTTTTGTTTTTCTAATACTCTCTCGTTTTGACTTCCTTTGGCTGTCGTAAGTTAATTGGTTTATGGTGGGTATCAGCTGAGGTTGGTGCACACGATGAAAGGGAGAACCCACATGATGCTGTTTGGGAAGAGCGGGACAGAAATATCAAGGGGTGTTTTAGCTTTGACTTTTCACGTGGTCAAATTTCTCATAAGGTTCCGGGTGGAATGAACCAGAATGCAAACGGGGAAGCTTGGCCTAAAGTGCCATCTGAAAAAAGAGGAGTCACGTCCGTAAAAGTGAAAAATGTCAAGACCTCTATTTCACCTGAAACAAAAGGAGTCATGTCCGATTGGTCAAGAAGTCCATCATCGTCTAAGGTCACAGAGTCTCAAGGTATATGTGACGATTTTTGAACTTGCTTTGCCTTCTGTTTTCATTTTTTTGGTATTTGATATGTATGTATTGCTTGCAAGATGCAACTCTAGGGAAAAATAATTCAATGTTATCCTCTTGTTTAAGCATTTCTGTATTCAATGGACGTTGTATCGTTTTTTCCCTGAATTTACCTCCCTCATTTTAGGGTCAAGCACTCGTCTATTCTTGAGGTTTAGGTTAATCACAAGTGAAAAAAATCCAATTAACTTTCACAATCACTAATGCCAAATTGATGCAGTTCATATTATACATATTATACAAATTGCACCATGAAGTTTGTGGTATTCATCAGGTAATGCAAGCTTCAGTGGAGTGGGGCGTCTGTAGGTGCGGAAGAAGACATTTTTTTTTCTCTTTGGGGCTTGGGGCAGGCTAATATATGCTTTAGCGTGATGCTTCTCATTTATTTATTCTTCTTTCTTCCCCCTGCCCCCCCCCCCTCTCTAGTCTTTGATGGAAACTGGTGGTTTTGCAGGTGGTGAGCAATCCGATAGGAGGGGAAAACGACTGGACAACGCTTGGCAACACGCGAAAGTGTTGGACGAGGCTAGGCAAAAGGCACAGTGCAACTACTGTGGTTTTATCTCAACGTACGGTGGGATTTCACGACTGAAGGCTCACTTGGCTGGAGGTTCCGCTGAGGTGCAGCTGCAGGGTTGCTCTCGTGTGCCGCTGGAAATCAAAAGCATGATGGAAGAGTGGTTCAACGAGTGGGTCAAATATGCATCAGCAGCTTGGACAAAGAGGTCAAAAGGTAAGCCTTCATATACACAATAAGTAAATAATGTCACTTAAGAGTTAAGACAGAGATAATGAGTTTTCTATTCTTTAACTTAATTTATTTTATATATTATTGAAGGACCCACTAACCTAGTACTGTCGGATATTGAGGTCAAATTACTCGAATTAGCTTCTCTAGAACTTCCCCTAAAACATCCTCACAATTAACTATTTGTATAACCGTGCCAGATTTTCACATCAATTGGTTATATTGTTTTAACAAGTTCCTTTGCTCTACCCTTTAGAGAAATTGCCTTTGGGTAAATCGAATAAAAGGGGAAGGCCGCCGCTAGATGATACGTGGGAGCATGCTGTACCTCTGGACAAGTCGAGACAGGTCACGAAATGCAAGTACTGTGGATTTGTGTCGAGTCGTGGTGGGATTGCACAAATGAGGGCCCATTTGAGTGGCGGTGATCTTACAATGCAGTTCGAAGGCTGCCCTTACGTGCCTCCAGAGGTCAAAAGTTTGATGATGCCGACTTCTGTGAAAAAGAAATGCAAGAAAAAGTCGAAGACTGCGAATGTGGAGATTGCCGGAGGAGGGGCACAAGGTATGTCTCTTATGACTTATGAGACCTTGAGTGATATATAATTTGCATGTTTAAGTGTTTTATTATATGTAATGAGCTCCATCTATCTAATTCAATATTAGGGTTGTGAAATACTCCAAGTGTTTTTTAGGAGTTTGGAAGAAAGAATCTGAAATGCATTGTTTGCTTCAGAAATATGTTAGAGCTAAAATGCTCAAAGTTGAATGAATTTCAAATCTCCCCCTCATTTTTTATTAAATTTTGGACTTGAATTCATCCTAAAAATTTAGTCATCTGGAATCTGCTGCTTATGTAGGTAATTATGCATGAATCTCTCTCTCTCTCTCTTTCACTCGCTCGCGCACGCGCGCACACACACACTCACTACCCACAACACAAGGTTTTCACTTATTGCATACCTACCCTTAAGTTTTTATGTATTATTAAAATTTTCATATTCCTATTACTTCTTGAATAACAAGTGCAGAAAAGATTATAATTCGTAATGTATCGAAAATCGTTACTAATCGGCATGCCCCCATACAAGAAAATGTCCAAAGAATGGAACTCAAATCAAGGTGTTTGACATCCATTAGCCTAATTACCAATAATGACAAGAGAAATCCAGTTACCTTCCAAATTCACAAGCTATGTGTCTTAACAAATTTCCGTTTCCTTCTCCCTCACAAAAGTGTGCTCTGTAAATGAAAGGGTAAGTAAGTAGCTGATATTTTCTTCATATTAGACTGAACCTCAAGGTTGATTTTTGTAATTAACATTTAATAAGCTGTGCAATGTCTGCATGCATAATAATTCCTCTAAAGAATTGACACTATCATAATCCCTTTGAATTGGACTTGACAATAGGTCTTCTCCGAAAAATCCATCTTGAAGAAGTTCAAACTTTTGACATTTTGAATTTCCTTAATTTCTTTTCTGCCGGAACGAATACTGAAGTCTCCCTATAAAGTACGTAAAGATCATTTTCCTTGTAAGCCCATGTCTTAGAATTCTATATTATGAACAAGTTCTTTGTCCCTTCACTACAAAATGCCGAGTACTAAACCACATTTTGCACATTGTCTTTTGTTGATAGAGACTGTGAGTATGGCTGACGAGGCCCGCTGGTCTGAAAAACGGCATATCGATGGGGTCCACAACACGTGCCTGAAGGAGAGCCTTCAGAAGCTCATACACGAGAAAAATGCCAATATGCAAAAGATGCAGTTTGAAATCCACTCCCTTCAAAACCGGTTAGCTTCAATGCCTTGAGCAGATTTTTCGTACTTTTTGGCATTTTACTAGGATTGTGTGCTCGTTTTGGCTTTTGTCCATATTACTAACATATTGTGATTAAGATTTGTATCTTTGTAAGTTTCTGAATCTGTTTCAGTGTAAATTTTCTTTTAGATTTTTGTTCGAGAACTTGTAAGTTTCTGAATGTGTTTTTCAAATTCTAATTAGAATGTGTGGAGCCTAGAGATAAAAGCCAACAACATAAAGGGATTTCATACCTTTGGACTGTATAAACTGATTTGATAGTAGTGATGATGTTAATAAAAGTGTGTTGTATTGTCTGACTCCTGATCCAACGATTTCAATATTATTTTAAAAAATCGTGATTTTTACCCTATGGAATCTTGAATTGGCCAAATTTCAAACATTTTGAAGAAAGCTTCAAAAAAAGAAAAAGGAAAGAAAAAGCAGCAGCCTCATATTGTGGGCTTATTGAGTAATTTTCCTTTGAGAAATTTACTCCCACTTCTCATTTTGAATCCTGACAAGTGACAACTACATCAAGGTTTGTAAGAGAATTTGTGGGCTCTTTTACATATTTACTACTT